TATCAAGTTTCCGCCTTTTCCCCCTCCTCGGGCCCCTATTGGGGCCACGCCCTTTTTTTCGCAAACTTGAAGCGGCTTTCCATGGGGATACTTTGTGCCAACTTTGGTCAAAACCCACCCAATGGTTTTTGAGAAGTAGTAATTTAATGAAAGTTTTTACATATGGCCCCTTTTACACCCCTTACGGGCCTCAAAGGGTACATTATCACTTTTTTCAACATAATTTCATATGTCTTCACTCAGGGATGCTGTCTACCAAATTTGGTTGAAATCGGTCAGAGTTGAATTTTCGACCCTTTTGAGCGCCCCTTAGTGGGGCCGTTTTTGACCCGATTTTTTTTCATTCGCAATCTTTGTAGACCTTGCCATAAGGACCTTAAATATCAAATATGCATTTAATCTTATAGTTGATTTACCTAATTTTACCCCCTTTTCCTTCTCCTGCGGCCCCTATTAAGGCCATACCCTTTTTCTTCGCAAACTTGAAGCCGTTTCCCATGGGGATGCTTTGTGCCAAGTTTGGTCAAAATCCATTTCATGGTTCTTGTAGAGAAGTCGAATATGTGAAAAGTTAACGACGCACGACACACGACGACAGACAAATCATGATGGCAATAGGTCACCATGAGCCTTCGGCTCAGGCGACCTAAAAATTCACATACGTAAAAACTGTGGATATCCCTGTCCGAGGTCAGAGAATTACCTATGTCAATCGCGGGCGCGAGGGGCCCGAAATGGGGTAATTACAATCGGAAAAGAAAAACCCCATAGGGCAGAAATGCACAGGAATCGAATTCTCTCCTGTCTACTCTATCTATCCTTCTTTCTCTCCTTTCCACCCTATCTATTCTCCTTTTTCTCCTGTCTATCCTATCTATCCTCCTTTCTCTCCTGTCTACTCATCTCCTTTCTCTCCTTACTCTCTCCTGTCTATCTCTCCTCCTCCTTTCTCTCTCTCCTGTCTACTCTATCCTCCTTTCTCTCCTGTCTCCTCTATCTATCCTCCTTTCTCCTTTCTCTCCTGTCTACTCTATCTATCCTCCTTTCTCTCCTGTCTACTCTATCTATCCTCCTTTCTCTCCTGTCTACTCTGTCTCTTCTCCTTTCTCTCCTGTCTACTCTATCTATCCTCCTTTCTCTCCTGTCTACTCTATCTCTCCTCCTTTCTCTCTTCTCTATCTATCCTTCTTTCTCTCCTGTCTACTCTATCTCTCCTTTCTCTCCTGTCTCTCTCTCTCTCTCCTGTCTACTCTATCTATCCTCCTTCTCTCCTGTCTACTCTATCTCTCCTCCTTTCTCTCCTGTCTACTCTATCTCTCTCCTTTCTCTCTCTCCTGTCTACTCTATCTTTCTCTCCTGTCTACTCTATCTATCCTCCTTTCTCTCCTGTCTATCCTATCTATCCTCCTTTCTCTCCTGTGTCTACTCTATCTCTCCTGTCTACTCTATCTATCACCCTTTCTCTCCTGTCTACTCTATCTATCCTCCTTTCTCTCCTGTCTACTCTATCTCTCCTGTCTACTCTATCTCTTCTCCTTTCTCTCCTGTCTACTCTATCTATCCTCCTTTCTCTCCTGTCTACTCTATCTCTTCTCCTTTCTCTCCTGTCTACTCTATCTATCCTCCTTTCTCTCCTGTCTTCTCTATCTCTCCTGTCTACTCTATCTATCCTTCTTTCTCTCCTTTCCACCCTATCTATTCTCCTTTCTCTCCTGTCTATCCTATCTATCCTCCTTTCTACTCTATCTATCCTGTCTACTCTATCCTCCTTTCTCTCCTGTCTACTCTATCTATCCTCCTTTCTCTCCTGTCTACTCTATCTATCCTCCTTTCTCTCCTGTCTACCCTATCTATCCTCCTTTCTCTCCTGTCTACTCTATTTCTCCTCCTCTCTACTCTATCTATCCTCCTTTCTCTCCTGTCTATCCTATCTATCCTCCTTTCTCTCCTGTCTACTCTATTTCTCCTCCTTTCTCTCCTGTCTACTCTATCTCTCCTCCTTTCTCTCCTGTCTACTCTATCTATCCTCCTTTCTCTCCTGTCTACTCTATCTATCCTCCTTTCTACTCTATCTATCCTCCTTTCTCTCCTGTCTACTCTATCTATCCTCCTTTCTCTCCTGTCTACTCTCTCTCCTGTCTACTCTATCTATCCTCCTTTCTACTCTATCTATCCTCCTTTCTCTCCTGTCTACTCTATCTATCCTCCTTTCTCTCCTGTCTACTCTATCTCTTCTCCTTTCTCTCCTGTCTACTCTATCTATCCTCCTTTCTCTCCTGTCTACTCTATCTCTCCTCCTTTCTCTCCTGTCTACTCTATCCTCCTTTCTCTCCTGTCTACTCTATCTCTTCTCCTTTCTCTCCTGTCTACTCTATCTATCCTCCTTTCTCTCCTGTCTATCCTATCTATCCTCCTTTCTCTCCTGTCTACCCTATCTATCCTCCTTTCTCTCCTGTCTACTCTATCCTCCTTTCTCTCCTGTCTACTCTATCTATCCTCCTTTCTCTCCTGTCTACTCTATCTCTTCTCCTTTCTCTCCTGTCTACTCTATCTCTCCTCCTTTCTACTCTATCTATCCTCCTTTCTCTCCTGTCTTCTCTATCTCTCCTGTCTACTCTATCTATCCTCCTGTCTACTCTATCTATCCTCCTTTCTACTATCTATCCTCCTTTCTACTCTATCTATCCTCCTTTCTCTCCTGTCTATCCTATCTATCCTCCTTTCTCTCCTGTCTACTCTATCTATTCTCCTTTCTCTCCTGTCTACCCTATCTATCCTCCTTTCTCTACTGTCTACTCTTTCTCTCCTGTCTACTCTATCTCTCCTGTCTACTCTATCTATCCTCCTTTCTCTACTGTCTACTCTTTCTCTCCTGTCTACTCCATATCTCCTGTCTACTCTATCCTCCTTTCTCTCCTGTCTACTCTTTCTCTCCTGTCTACTCTATCTCTCCTGTCTACTCTATCTATCCTCCTTTCTCTCCTGTCTATCCTCCTTTCTCTCCTGTCTACTCTATTTCTCCTCCTTTCTCTCTTCTCTATCTATCCTTCTTTCTCTCCTGTCTACTCTATTTCTCCTCCTTTCTCTCCTGTCTACTCTATCTATCCTCCTTTCTGTCATGTCTACTCTATCTATCATCCTTTCTCTCCTGTCTACTCTATCTATCCTCCTTTCTCTCCTGTCTACTCTATCTATCCTCCTTTCTCTCCTGTCTATCCTATCTATCCTCCTTTCTCTCCTGTCTACTCTATCTATCCTCCTTTCTCTCCTGTCTATCCTATCTATCCTCCTTTCTCTCCTGTCTACTCTATTTCTCCTCCTTTCTCTCCTCTATCTATTCTCCTTTCTCTCCTGTCTATCCTCCTTTCTCTCCTGTCTACTCTATTTCTCCTCCTTTCTCTCTTCTCTACTCTATCTATCATCCTTTCTCTCCTGTCTACTCTATCTATCCTCCTTTCTACTCTATCTATCCTCCTTTCTCCTGTCTATCCACCTTTCTTTCCTGTCTACTCTATCTATTCTCCTTTCTCTCCTGTCTACTCTATCTATCCTGCTTTCTCTCCTGTCTACTCTATCTATCCTCCTTTCTCTCCTGTCTACTCTATTTCTCCTCCTTTCTCTCCTCTATCTATTCTCCTTTCTCTCCTGTCTACTCTATCTCTCCTGTCTACTCTATCTCTCCTCCTTTCTCCTGTCTATCCTCCTTTCTCTCCTGTCTACCCTATCTATCATCCTTTCTCTCCTGTCTACTCTATCTATCATCCTTTCTCTCCTGTCTACTCTATCTATCCTCCTTTCTACTCTATCTATCCTCCTTTCTCCTGTCTATCCACCTTTCTCTCCTGTCTACTCTATCTATTCTCCTTTCTCTCCTGTCTACTCTATCTATCCTCCTTTCTCTCCTGTCTACTCTATCTATCCTCCTTTCTCTCCTGTCTACAGTCTATTCTCCTTCCACTCCTGTCTACTCTATCTATAGATAGATAGATGCTGATACCTCCTTTGACATTACAAGGACACTTAAATCAACATTGAAAATGTAAGTGGAAAAGGAAGTGTTTTTCATGTGCAATGTTGTCCTTATTGTCAAGTATATTTCTTATCAAAGTACAGTCATTGTTTCTGTTTCCTCTTAGATGTATTACCTGAAATACACATTTCTTAAGGTATATGGTTTTTTCCGCTTTCTGCTGTTTTTAGGATCCCAGAATGACAAAACAGCGGTATGATGTAGTTAAATTTATTGTGTGACTATACTCTATGTAACTCTAAACCAGTATCAGAATGTGCTATCCTTTTGCATGTCTTTAGTACACATTCTTCAACAGTAAGGACATTTTCAATCCCAGTAAGATGTGGTTTTTACAGTAAACCAAATAAGTTTGTAAATGCTGATATTTTCACTTTCCAGACCTATGCAAATTTTATTTCTTCTTCCTGGGGATAATCAAATGTAATGGCTAATTACTTTGTATGGTAACACTGGGATCTCCAAATACCTTTACTTTATAACAGTCCTTCAACATACAACAGGTCGAAGAACCAACAAATGATAGAAAAAATGCCCAAAAGGAAACATCAGTCATTCTACAGATGTCGATCCATGTTATAATTTGAAATAACACTGTTGCCATGGCAAGCGTTGTGGTACAGATTATGTATTTAAATAGTATACCCTTCCATCCAGTACTTCTCAAGAAATATCAACAAAAAATTTGAATTGTTGCAGTACAATATGGCAATGTCCCCATCAGCCATTTCATTTTTCCAGTTGGCCTCCAACACATGCACATGTACCTAACTGAGCATTTCTCAAGGTGGAGTCAACTATCTTATACTAATGTAGCTGTTTGTCGACAAGAATGTTGAAAAAATTGAAAAAAAGTTCTGTCATCTATCAGTGATTAAGTATCTGGAACCAAACGTTTTAAATAAACAAACATTTAGTAAAAATTGATTTTATTTTCATTCAATCACAGCTTTATATTAATATTCACTGATATGAAAATATAAAAATTGGTCATATAAAGCATTTTAATTACATACATTTTCGGTATCAATAGAGTCAATAGAGTAAATGAGATTTCACAACAGAATACATTAAAGACACATCAAAATGAAGCAGACACAAGATACTAATGGAAACTCTCTATCAAAGGAAACACAAATAATTGGAAGGAGATAAAAACCTGGCAATGATATTAAGTCATGATTGATTTTGTACCTACCACTTTCTAGCTTGATAGCACCAAGAAGAAGTTTAAAATGTTTTCCAAGATGGTGGAATAGATGGCCAGATTAGAATCAGATCTGCCTGAAAATAACCACCCTTGGTAAGGACCATCTCAGTCTCATTTCAGACAAGATTCAGTTTAATCCCACAAGTTGAACTTACAGGAATTATAAAATGTAAAAACATTTACACATGGAAAATGGAAGACAGTGCATGAACTGAGAAATCATGGTTAACAACATTGATCATATGATATTGGTAAAATATGATATATAATATAAATAAATAATTTTTTTATTACATTGTTTTCCGATGATAGCTTCAGTTGTGATAAGATTAATGATTAGAATGCCATCAAACCTTGCATGTGGCTAAAATGCCAGTTACCTCACTTTTTCTATGCATACACATTAGATGATCCTGTCAGCCGTGTCATATCAAAGACGTTTAAAATGGTACTTGCAGCTTTCCCCTGAAAACATTAATACTGCAAGGAACTGAATGGCCTGGAATCAGTATAACGGTGTGGGTAATGGGTTGGGTACATGTTTTGTGTCTGCCATGCATGCCATGTACCTATGATATTATCTGCGAATGACTTAAGCTGTCGACAATACAACACCACCCTTTTTTGGTCCAACTTTCAAGGTCACGGAATCAAAGGGTTATTGCTTTGTGTTGCTCCTTTGTTATGTTGTTGCTAAGATATAGTTGCATTAATAAGGCCTTTCGAAAATAGCTTCTTTTGTAGTCAAAATGCATCAAAATATTTCTTAAAACCAACATATTGTGTTTGAAAAAATATTCGCTTTTTTTGGAAGGTCACAGGTTTTGGCTGTACCTTTTAGATTAAGAAGAATTTACACGCGATCAAATTACATAATCTTATCATCTTTTTAATGATCAACACTGCATAACATAACATTGCAATATTGTATTCATGGAAGTCTAGTCTCCTCACAGATCTCAAAACCTAGGAGGTGATATGATACAAGGATCACAGGGCGCAACTAGACAGTTCGACCACCGACACCTCGGCCCCTCCAAACCTTGACGGAAACATACACCATTATAGTATATTATTGCTACATTGTCTTGTAATCTACACGCAGTGCACTTCCGTAACAGTATAAAAATTGTTAGATTAGTGGTAATTTAAATACAATCACAACGCTTAGTGTAATAATTTATTCTGTATTACTCTAAGCTTAACAATTGCAACTCTTAATGTAATAAAGATAAGTTTATTACATTAAGCATAACGGTTGCAACGCTTAATGTAACAATTATTACATTAGCGCCGTTATTACATTAAGAGTTGCGTCAAGGTCTATTGGTTAAGAAATTTTGTAACGTTTCTAAACTATTACAATACACTGAAGCTTGATCTGTCGCTTCTGCATAAATCAAAGTTACAAACCAAATTTCACCTCATCAGACAAAACAAAAATGGTTGAACTGACAGAAAGACAGATGGACTGACAGAAGGACAAACTGACAGAAAAGAAACCTACATATATGATCCAAATTGTTTCCATAGTAGAAATTAAATATAAGTACAATGGTTGATAGATAAGTAGTGAGCCTTCTATTGAAGAAGTTAAGTAGAAGTGTCCTTTTTCAGCTCTACTATTCTCTGACTATTTAAAGCTATGTACCCAAAGACTGGTGTCATTTGGTCAGTATATGTCGAGGAGGCAGCCCTCTAAAATAAACAAGGCCTTATGAGTCTTTCAGACCAAATTATTTTCAAAAAAACCCTTTGAACGTTTTGGTTGGTGTCACTTCATCCCTGCGTTGCACTCCGGCTTGCTGCTTTGACTTTGCATCAGCTGAATCATTTGTTAAAACAGTTTTAGTGTTTGTCTGATGATAAGCGTCTTCTTCTACATTAGAACCAGAAGTACAGTTATCCTCATTCTCATCCGTATTACCTGATCGGACAGGAGTACCTTCCTCAATGTCACTGTTGCACCTGGTAGTGTCAGCCCCTTGATGCATAAGAGGAGTTACCTCATTAATACTCTCATCCTCAAAACTGCTCTTTGAGTCTTTCTGTCTTACAGCCGAACCATTAGAAAAAGAGACATTTCCAGCCTTTTTTATATAAACTCCTCCCTCGACTCTATATCGCTCTGCTGCATCTGAAATGACCAGTCAAATATTTCAACTGAGAAAATCATTGAAGCTTTTGAGTGGGTTTAATACTGAGGATATTTGTTTTTTGATGAATAACAGTTATAATTCATCAAATGGGGTGGAAGTTTGATAATTTTTTGTCCAAAAAGAAGAGCAACAGTGAAAAATGTTGAAGTTTCCACCCAACGAGATGAAATAGTATCTTTATTCATCAAGAAACACTAAATATACTCTATTATATTTTTGCAAACCTTTCATTAGTTTAAATTTGGCACCTGTATTTCAAATGTTTCGCATCTTAGTCACAGATCATCAAACTAGTATCCAGTTAATTACCATATAAAATACTGCAATGAAAAGTGAGTTTCCTATAAATTTGAGAAAGATCCATCCAGTACGCTTCCAGAAATAGCGGTAACAAGAATTGTTTACGGACGGACGGACCACTGACGCAGGGCGATTTGAATAACCCACCATCTATTAGATGGTGGGCTAAAAATGTGTTCTCAAGATGTTGGCCATGGATTTCCAAACCCGAAATTAACAAACTTTGGTCAGGATCATACGATCATTTCAGGTAAGTTTCAGCTCAATGAGACATTTAGAACTTGAGAAGAAGTCAAAATGGCTCTCTAGTCACCTTGAATGTATCTGTGGCATGCTTACATCCAAACCATTAGAAAATATTGATGACAAAGAATTTTCATATTTTTTTATGAGAATAAAAGGACCTTCTGCATTTTGAATTCCAAATGATTTTGAATTTTGTACTGCAGTCAAATATTTCAACAAGAATGAGAAAATCATTGAAGCTTTTGAGTGGGTTTAATACTGAGGATATTTGTTTTTTGATGAATGCTAAACAGTTATAATTCATCAAATGGGGTGGAAGTTCGATAATTTTTTGTCCAAAAAGAAGAGCAACAGTGAAAAATGTTGAAGTTTCCACCCAACGAGATGAAATAGTATCTTTATTCATCAAGAAACACTAAATATACTCTATTATATTTTTGCAAACCTTTCATTAGTTTAAATTTGGCACCTGTATTTCAAATGTTTCGCATCTTAGTCACAGATCATCAAACTAGTATCCAGTTAATTACTATATAAAATACTGCAATGAAAAGTGAGTTTCCTACCATTCCATAGGGCTGTTGTTGTTCTAGAAGTTCACAATGTATTCTTGGATAACTTATATTTTCACTGCAAATGCAGTGATCTGATTGGTCAAAAATAAGAAAAAATATCAAGATTTGTTAATATCACAGGAGTGAAAATATCACTTATATTTTCACCATGAAGCATTAAAAAAAATTAATAAAAACAATTGTGACATTCCTATTTCATCAGGAACATTTCTAATATTTTTGTATAATGTCTAGGTTGATTTGGTGCTGTTTTTCAATATTGAGACCAGATTTCTATTGAAAGGTGCTATTCACTTGTATCTTGTGTACATTCTTAAAACCTGAATGAGAAGATATCCAGACAAGATTAAATGGTTCATTAAAATGAAAATTTTAAGACTTGTTTCATCAGTCTTATATAAATGGAGATATCGTAGATTCTGATTTCTATACACGAATCTATCAAGTAAATTAAACCAAGTCCTTCCTCTAGGTAAATAGGAGATCCTGGGGTCACAAAATTCACAATTTGTTCAAGGTCCTTAAGACCCTTGATGGAAGAGTAATCATTTAGCTTGACATCACAGCAGTGTTATACAGTATTTAACATAAATGTCTTACAGTATCTATGATATTACCATTTGACCGAGTAGAAAAAGTCTGTAGTATACGAATGCTTATGAAACATCATTACTGCATATAAAGGATTGCCTCAGTTTGATTTTTAACCTAAACTGAATGCTAATTAAATGATAGGCATTGTGATAAATGCCACTTAGAAGCTGGGAATAATGTGTATTAAAGCTGATATGTACTTGGTGTCATGCGATTTCCATGGTCACCAGGCTTTGAAGTATTGCTTTGAGAGTTGGCCTGGTCATTTCCTGAAAAAGAAAATTGAAAAAATAATTGAAATTATTATAATCAACAGTCACAAACTGTCATACCAAACTGCACTATATCACTACAGAATCAAGAACATGATGAGAGAAAAACCTTTGTCCAAGGTAAACCCTTTGTCCAAAGTTAGGATCTTTTTGAGGAGTCTTCAAAGTAAACAGATATGATTCCTTTATTTTGCTTTAAAAATCACCTCTTCAAAACAACCAGCCCTCAGAATATTTTACTAGAACTTGATCTACATCAACTGATACTGTAGTACTTTTCACATTTAGAAATCACGACACAATCCTGGCACAAACAGTTTTGTTGGCATTGGGCGGATCTTTTCTATTCTTAGTTGTAATCACAACTGTCAATGAATCATGTTGTAACATGTTCAGGATAATCCCTTCAGCCACTTAGTGGCAACAAACTACAACTTAACATATCAAAATTCAAAATAACAGCTGAAGATCTTCATCAAAATCTGATCACATTCAGAATCTGACCTGGATGACAACAAAAAACTCAGCAACCATGCAACCAAAATGTGGAACAAGGACTCATACTGAATATATAACCCTTATACTTAAGATTTCAAATTTTAAACTTGAGAAGAGACAAGAGATCCCAGAGGGATCTTGGCGCCCACCATTTAAGGATTTGTTTTCAGTTCTTGAAGATTTGTTGATTTTTTTTTGTTTGTTACAGGTGTTGTAAATGTTCATGAACTGTTCTTCATTGAATGTACTCAATGATGGCACAAGATATTTTTATTAAGCACCTATTAGCAAATATCATTTGAAAAAGATCCCAAAGTATCAATAGATAGCAGTCAGTTACAGGTGGATAATGGACAATATGCGTGTGCTGTATTACTGTCGACATCCAAGATGGCGGCCTGTGGGCCACCTTGATTTCAAATCAGTCCAAAAAAGGTAAAATGCACAACTAGGGACCAAGGGAAACCAATATCTATGAAATATCAGGAGGATCCATCCAGTACTTCCTCAGATATAGCAGTAACAAGATTTTACTCTCAAAATCCAAGATGGCTGACAGGCAGCCATCTTGATTTCGGATCAGTCCAAAAAGGTATAATGCACAACTAGGGACCAAGGGGAACCTTCATATGAAATTTGAGAAAGATCCATCCAGTACGTTTCCAGAAATAGCAGTAACAAGAATTGTTTACGGACGGACGGACCACGGACGCAGGGCGATTTGAATAACCCACCATCTATTAGATGGTGGGCTAAAAATGTGTTCTCAAGATGTTGGCCATGGATTTCGCACAAACCCGAAATTAACAAACTTTGGTCAGGATCATGTCACGATCATTTCAGGTAAGTTTCAGCTCAATGAGACATTTAGAACTTGAGAAGAAGTTGAAAATGATTACAAAATGGCAGTCGGTAGTCACCTTGAATGTATGATAACACATAAAATGTGGCATGCTCAAGAGAACTATTTCAGAAATGTCTCAAAGTTTTTGAACGATCACGAGAAATATTGCACAAAAGCTTAGAATTCTTACAAGACAGTTGGATGAACTATGGACAAAAAGGACCTTGATGACAAACTAAAATGTAAAATTATACTTAATATATACATGGACAACTTAATGAGAAAGTTGAGTTTTTATTTTGAATTTTGTATTATAGAATTAGGTCATTTTAAGATGTTAACACAAGAATTCCTTTATATAATTATAAACATTGAGGACTTGCAGAAGTTAATTAAAATATTCACTTAACAGATTTTATAAATGTTATTATCCTCTTTGACCTAATAAGTGGACTGTAGGCTTACAAAAATACAACAGTGGTGTGCTAAATAAAACCATGTACAAGGATGAATTTCTATTTGTAATCTGGGTTAAAAAAATACATTTTTTTTCGTTATTTTACATTGATGTAGCTATCAAAAACTGAAGATTGTATTGACAGATTAGTGAGGTATGGAATTTTTTTTTAAGTTTTCATTAGTACATCTATCCTCTTTCTCTGAATTAAGGTGGGCGTGTGCTTATAATGTCAAATATGGTAGTCAGTTATCTACTGGGTATTATTTTCTATATGGCACACCTGAACCTCATAATGACATACACTTAGGACCAAAATTATGATTTCTTAAAATGTTTGTCCTATACTCGACATGCATCTTCTCGCCTGGTGGATTGACCCACATGAAATAAATATCATACACAAAGTTAGCAACATCAGTTGTAAAATTTCACAAATTCAAGAAAAAAATACTTTTATACAAACCTGATGCTCTGCCCTTGGGTACAGGTTTATTTTCTTTTTTGTTCTTTTTTTTCATTTTTTTCTTTTTTCTTCGCACCACAAATATCACAATACCTATAATGCTGAAGATAACAATGATGACGATAACAATGATGACGATAACAGCAATGACCCTGCAACATACGAATGTTGAGCACTCTTATTACTTTATACTTACACTTGTGTTGAATATTGTCTAGATGAAGCTTAGTGAATATTATGTGGCGATTTTGGGTTGCGCAAAGGTAAACAGTCATATGGCAGGTGGGGGTTTGGTGGTGGGAGTTAACACATACCTTACCCTGCTTTGAGAAATCAGGAAAATTCCTGCTCGAGATCCTCATAGTTTTTGGTTTTAGGTAAAATTACATTGATATTAAATTCACTTGTATATTTTATCCAGATTTACATCAGTTGGTAGCAATTAATGATATTGTTTGCTTCATAAGGGTATATTGTAATGTAAAAATGCCACTTCAGCTTCATAAGTGTAACATCTGTTTAGTAAACACAATTTCCTAGGTCATAACAAAGTCAATTTTCAATAAATTAAATTGTTTGAATAAGAATACCTATGTGTTTAACTATATACATGATCACTAACATGCAGGTGTTCTCTTGAATGTACAGAAAGTTAACAGCCATTGCAGAAATTTGAAAATCATACTTGGAGCAACATCATTAAGGTACCAACTCATTATTACTATCATATACAATATGAACCTTTACATATACATGTAATGCTTTTGTTCAGATTTGAATACTGGTAGATTTAAAACTTAATGTATGTACAAAAAAAACTTATATGAAAGTCTGTGTTACCTCATCCATGTTAATTAGAAGGCATGGGAGTAATAAGACTTTTATCTTTTTGTGCAAATCCAATGTTACACTTATTAGTCATAACGTTTAATATCGACAAATATTCACAACACTAAAGAATTAAATACTTCTGGGTTTACAAAATACAAATGTTGTAAAAAAAATGATATATGTAAGTCTATAGTCAGTTATCTATATAATTCTTGGACTGGAGATTATCCTGGGAATTGTATTATGTATTACTAAGTAAAACTTAATGGACAAACACATATGTATTTATTCTATCCTGTTAAGCATTACCCTGATGGAAACATTACTTGGGATATGCCTGATTGCCTAAACTTGTGTTTTTGATCAAATTATTTATAAATAAACATAACCTAAATATATGATTTTCTAATGCTAAGTGTAATATTATTGGAGCTAAAAGCAACCTTTTTCCTGGTGACAGACTATCTAAACTGTACCAGGGGTAAATCACATGTACCTTGACAAAGTATATTTTGTAAGTGACTTTTCATTAGTTTCTGTAACCATATCTCTGACAAAAAACTGTTTATATGGTGGGCACAAAATACTGTCGCTGAATGATTGAAGTACACTGTGTAAAATAGAATACTGTGAAACACTTCATTCCATTCTTTTGCTTTCTTCAGATATCTCAGAAAAGAAAAAAGAGAACTATGATTTAATTGCATGAACTTGAAATTACTGTAATTAAGCAAAGTTTCAAAAATACCATTGAACTGAGCGATACTTTTAGCATTTTGATACAGACTTTTAGAGGCATTACTATGCAAAAATAATATCAAATATAACGGTTTTTATTACATGAACCAAACTCCAGGGACAGGAATACAAAAAAATAGAATAAAAAATATGTTACAGCACAAACATGTATTACACCACTAAAGACAATGTAGATTTTTACTATCTCTATGTGGATGTATTGCAACTATGACTTACAAAGAACATGACTGTCTACCTCAACTCTCTGTATTGCTTTACCAATTTAAGTATGAACTCATTTACAAGGTTCTAATATTTATAGAGTATATAATGAACGTTCCAAGGGAATGGGTGGGGCAGTGTGTGTATGAATAAGATATTGGTATATGCTTACAATCAGAATAAACCCCATCCAGAGTAACCAATTTACAGGTGTGCTAGGGTCAGCTATTGTAAATATCATATGTTGTTAAATAATTAGAATTTATATTTATTTATTTTCTGTGTCTTCGTTATTGCAATGATATAGAAAGTAGAAGGCATGTTGTATGTAATATCCACCACCTGTAACTTAAATCCGTAAGATTTTAGTAATAATGGGACATGTGATCCGAGCAGATTTTTCATCTCGGAATGCTAGTTTCAGCAATGGATTGGAAACGACGTGCTCACATCCATCTGGGAACAAACATAATAAGGTATAACATTATATAATGAATGATGAAGTAGGCCTAGCTGTAGACTCATGCCAGTGAAGCAACGACAACATATTGGAACTCTTCTGTCATGCTGGATTACAACATGAGCACAAACGCCACTTAGCAACAGAGAGTGCAGCCAGCAAACGCCACTGTATATAAATGAGTGATGCTAGATTAGATTACTAAATTTAATATAAACCTGGTGAACAAAATGGTTTTAATGTGAAGAAACAAATAAGTTATCAAAGTATAATGCTATATGTACTTACAAACTAGTATAAACATCTGATTTATCACTTCCCTAGTCAATTAATTATACTGCCCTGACAAATATTGGCGTATTTTCACCAATAATGAACTCATCTGAAATATCAATACATTGTAATATAAACCAATAAACCAAATTTGGTTCAAAATTCACGATAAAAATCTAAATTATTTGACAGAAACAAAGAAATTATCTGTATGACTTTAAAGTGGGCAAGGTCATTCATTTGAACAAACTTTGGCGCCCAGCATGTCACAGGCCATGTATTAGCACTCTGAGCCTTTTGGTATTTGAGAAGAAGTTGTTTAAAGATTTTACATATTTGCACCTTGAAAGTTGTTCAAGGTCATTCATTTAAATAAACTTGGTAGCCTTTCCTCTGTGCATGCTACAGAAGTATTAGCATTTAAAGTCTTTCAACTCAGACAAATATTTAATTTTTTTTACAAATATCAAACTCTGATATTAGGTGATCTTACCGATATAAACTATAAACTTGAAAGTATGGACCGATGTTAACCAATACCAACTTATCTAGGATCTTTTCATAGAAAGCCACAGCAATATAACTGGTTGAAATTTGACAGTAAAAATTAATGGAAATGAAGAAATTGAACATTGAACATGGATACAGATTTTGACTAATATTGAACTAATCCAAGATCTTATTATATTGAATTTGGTTCAAATCTGACAACCCCCCCTTTTTTTTCTAGGGATATATTTACACTCCAGAAGATTGATTGTCGGAGGTGATAAGTACACCTGGAGTTACACTAATTGAGGTTACAGTATATTTACACTCCAGAAGATTGATTGTCGGAGGTGATAAGTACACCTGGAGTTACACTAATTGAGGTTACAGTATATTTACACTCCAGAAGATTGATTGTCGGAGGTGATAAGTACACCTGAAGTTACACTAATTGAGGTTACGGTATACTTACACTCCAGAAGATTGATTGTCAGAGGTGATAAGTACACCTGAAGTTACACTAATTGAGGTTACGGTATACTTACACTCCAGAAGATTGATTGTCAGAGGTGATAAGTACACCTGAAGTTATACTAATTGAGGTTACGGTATACTTACACTCCAGAAGATTGATTGTCAGAGGTGATAAGTACACCTGAAGTTACACTAATTGGGGTTACGGTATACTTACACTCCAGAAGATTGATTGTCAGGACTTTCAGTGGCGATAAGTACACCTGAAGTTACACTAACTGGAGTTACGGTATACTTACACTCCAGAAGATTGATTGTCAGAGGTGATAAGTACACCTGAAGTTACACTAATTGAGGTTACGGTATACTTACACTCCAGAAGATTGATTGTCAGGACTTTCAGTGGTGATAAGTACACCTGAAGTTACAGTAACTGGAGTTGTGGTATACCCAGACAAAGCACTGCTATTCACTGGTGTATTAATCTCATAGGTCACAGATTTTCTCGTTGTCACTGGAATAATATCTTTTGGAGTAGTTTTTGGTGGACTGAAATGATAAATTATGACCACAACGTACTGTTAAGACTGATTGTACAGGTAAAAATTTTCAATTTTACTATAAAATAAAAATTCATGTCTTGTTTGGTTTCTTTTCTTTTCATAATATCAAGTCTAAAGGAGACTTCTTTTAAAAAAGAAACTTTAGTCAACGAAACAAATGAAAATGACAAAGAAATTTTCCCATGCCATGCTTTACTCACTGTTTCCTAACTTATTTGTTGTCAGTAAAATGAAATTCTACAGTCTGTGAATTTCAGTAGAATTCCACACTTTGTTTGTTTTTTTAGTTACTAATTTAGTTACCTCAAATATCTCAAATTATGAAAATTAAACTAAAAATGATTACCTTAAAATTGCTCATCATTGATTTATTTTAACAATACCGGGGTAATTTAATTGAAGATTTGAAACATTCAACTGTCAATGAGGTCAATTTCAACATGCTTTGAGTGTTAAACAAGTTTAAAAACAGAAAACGAGATTTATATAACAAGAGAGCCATACATCATCTGACAATCAATAGACAGACCAAAACAATTGCTGATGGTGGTGTTACATTGCTAGAAGTCAAAGTATCAGAAAAACATAAATGATGGCTTTTGTTTATTGAAATATTAAAAACAGTTGTACAATCATGTTTCATAATTATTACTGTGGCTACCATGCTGAAGCTTTTGACCAGGCTGAAAAATAGCATATCATCTGCTCCTTTTCCTTAACAAATTAAACTGAGAATATTTTTTTTTCTCAATGTCTACTGTAAATGAAAATTGAAAAGTAGTTCAGGCTATTTATTCAAGATGAGTTATGCTGGATAATGGACCAAACTAAAAACGAGATTTGATCAGGCCAGTCTCAGGATCACTTAATCATTGCCACTCCCTAATAATGTTTCAGATCAAATTTGGGTGACATCAACCCAAGAATTAGGAATGAGTAGCTTTCTGTAGCAAAATTTCGCCTAACTTCCTCTTTTGTGGCTGTCTCTGAATGTAAGAATCAAATGCCCTGCTCAAATGATATCTCAGGCAAAATGTGAATGAAATGTAATGTGGGAGATGATATCCGGATAACATAGAAATGTTTAAAATAAAACCAAGGACAATAACTCTTTCAAAACAATGTGAATGAAACTGCTGTGTAGGAAAACATGCCTTCATGTCATGGTGATTTAAGCCTACTGAGTTTGAAAGGAATCATTTGAAAACTGATTAACTTCATACCTGATAAACACAAAAACAACAAAGGGCAGTAACTCTTCCAAATACAGTAAAATCCCATTTCTATGCAGGAAAACACAACTTCATGTCAAAGTAATTTATTTTACCATGATTAAAAGAAATTGGTTGAAAACCAAGAGAAGAAATCTCCAGGTAGAGATCAACCATGAACACACATTGTCAATGAATGAGGTATCAAATAGTATACTCCTTGATCAGTCCGTTTTATCAATGTTCTTTAGTTTTGATTAACTGATAATTTCCATGTATGGAATTTTACTACAAGAGATCCCTGTGGGATCTTGGCGCCCACCATTTAAGGATTTGTTTTCAGTTCTTGAAGATTTGTTTATTTTTTTTGTTTGTTACAGGTGTTGTAAATGTTCATGAACTGGTCTTCATTGAATGTACTCGATGATGGCACAAGATATTTTTATTAAGCACCTATTAGCGAATATCATTTGAAAAAGATCCCAAAGTATTATCAGATAGCAGTCAGTTACAGGTGGATAATGGACAATATGCTTGTGCTGTATTACTGTCGACATCCAAGAGGGCTGCCTCTGGGCCACCTTGATTTCAAATCAGTCCAAAAAAGGTAAAATGCACAACTAGGGACCAAGGGAAACCAATATCTATGAAATATCAGAAGGATCCATCCAGTACTTCCTCAGAAATAGCAGTAACAAGATTTTATTCTCAAAATCCCAGATGGCTGTCTGTCAGCCATCTTGATTTCGGATCAGTCCAAAAAAGGTACAATGCACAATTAGGGACCAAGGGGAACCTGAATATGAAATTTGAGAAAGATCCATTAAGTACTTTCCAAGAAATAGCGGTAACAATCTTTTAAATCCAAATCCAAGATGGCCACCTGTCAGCCATCTTGAATTTGAATCAGTCCAAAAAAGGTACAATGCACAACTAGGGACCAAGAGGAAACTGCATGTGAAATTTAAGAAAGATCCATCAAGCACTTTCCAAGAAATAGCGGTAACAAACTTTTACTTCCAAAATCCAAGATGGCCACCTGTCAGCCATCTTGAATTCGAATTAGTCCAAAAAAGGTACAATGTACAACTAGGGACGAAGGGGAACCAACATATGAAATTTGAGAAAGATCCATCAGAATTGTTTACAGACGGACAATGGACCACGGACGATAATGGTGGGCTAAAAATGTGTAAAATTTATCACTCAAGACATTGTAAATTCCCTAGTACAACAAAATATAACATGCAGAGAGCAAGTCACAGAGAATGACAGTAAAATGGCTATGTTCATATTATTTCAACACTTTCAAATGATAATTAAATGTTGATTAATATTATTATCCTTGTATGTTGTTCTACAAATCCAATTCCCTAAAAAAATAATTAATAAACACAAGTATTGATTCCACTTAGCTAGTTCATGTAGGGTATCCTCTCCCTTAATATGTGCCATTCTGTAATTTTGTTTTACACACACAAAAAAAGTTTTCCATTTGAACAGTGGTCGAGTTTTCTATGACAAAGTGAAATGTAAATTTTATAAGAAATGTCCAATAAAATACTCATGACATCACATAGCAGATAGCACCACAAATCCTTCTGGTATTGTATCATGTCAGCATTGATAATGTCCCAACAGAAAGCGGTATCAACACAAGGGAGACAACCGTTTGACTAATGTCGGATAGAGTCATGTGTCAAGGTAAATATTGGCAAGTGTGACACCTCTTCAACAATTACAGGGGAAATATATCATTTTAGTTTAAGGTACACAGGCTATTTAAGGGATAATGTTACAGGGAATATATGTACAGTCTGGACCAAACAATCAGTTTGAATTGGGTGTATTTAAGTAATGAAGGTTCAAGGAAGTAGGATTTTATTTGATTTTATGTAATTTTATTCTTAAATACTGAAATTAAGCGGAATTCCCTCTCTCAAAGGTTATGCACTAGAAAGGTTTTTAGATATGACTACAATATGGTTACAATATACCACAATGTGACAAATATTGCATAACAGTATATGTACCTCAGGATCAGAAAATTCAGCTTTGCACAGCAAATGAGATTTCTATATTTCATGTACAACTGATTCCCTTCAAGGTTAATGATTGTATGTAAGGTATAACTTTGTCTTACAATTCTACATGTTGAAGCCTTACATTAATTTGAAAGGGAGATAAATCCTACTGCTTTAACCCCTAATGTTATTGAGTACCTGGGTGTGATTGGTCTACATCCACAGTCCTGCTGTAGAATTGACCCATAGGAACAGGTCTTCTTCTCACAATTGCATGGGTCTGTACCACAATATTGATATTTGAGGTCACACTTGCACCATTGCGGGCAAGCACGTGGATTTATAGTTGTTGACTTCACCTTCGATACTATGGTAACATCTGTAAAAGATTAATTTAAGAAGCATTTAATGTTACTCAGTCAGATCTTTAATAAAGAGTAAATTTTCGACAAAAAAAATCATCGATTTTGTTCTTGCTGTAGTTTTAATGCATTGTAGAATTATCAAGAGTAAATTAAAACGTTATCTACCCCATTGAAGATTTATCTTGAGAATTAGGGAGTTAAGCTCTTATATAAGACACAAAATCAAACAGCCCCTGAAAAACATCCAGGTCAGGAAATTGGAAACAAAGAATTAAAATTTAGACCAGATTTCAATTTTTTCAATCAAATCATATCTTATCACTTTTCAAAATTATACCTCGTGTGTTATAATTAGTTTTAATTGCAAAAATTAATATACATTTATTTGAACAAAATAACAGGAATAATCAGAGAGTGAAGTGAAACTTTGTTGCCCTTTGACAATATACATGCTGACATCTCAGGCAAGAAATCACACTGAATCAATGCTAATTAAGGAAAATTTCTAAACCACTACCCATGTTTAATGTTGATGTTAACCACATGGAGCCAATATCTTATCAATAGTTATATGTGCCATCTCTGGCTATATTCCAACAATTAAAATTGTAAGAGAAACAAGACTAGTTAAAATAGTAACATGGTTGGAAATTGTCTGGTTTGGGTCAGGCTGTTTACAATGACAATAAGACGATGGAGTTTGATTCTACTCTCAATTTCTGGGCCATGAAGACAATGGGAAAATCAGAAGAAAACAAGTAAATGGGGTTAAATATACATAATTGAGTACAATTTGTTGCCAAAACATAAGTATATGTATAACTTGTGTATTCAATAAAAAAACAGTATTATGAAAGAGTGATATTAACACATATTAAGTGATAGAGTCAGCAGATCAACAGTCACCATCATCCTACTAAACAATACCATCGTATTTCTCTGTTGATAGTCATAAAACATGTTTATACTCATTTCCTACAATAGACAGCAGCAAATAAATGACTACATACTAATTTTCAAACCTTACAGTTCTTAGTAAAGTAAGCACTTCCAGCCCTGTTCCCAGAAAACCTTCATACACAAAGGACTAACCCTGAACTACCTCTAGTAGTGACTGCGAAATTTGAAGTGAGCACAGAAACAGCTTAAATGTAACGAGATCATAGAGGGATCTCTGCCCACCAATAGGATCTTTATTAGTTCTATATCAATTGGATCTAATCCTGTTTTTTTTCTTCTTTTAAATTGATTACATTTGCTTTTTTCTTATTAGTGTCAAAACTGAACATGCACAGTTAGAGAATAAGGGCAATAATCATATGAAATTTTTAAATGATCAATACTTAAGCCCACCATGTGATAAGAAAATTGTTCAAGGACTGACAGACATATTAAAGGACAGGACACAGCACATCATAAACATCCAAATGTAATTTGAAAAACTACTTCTTAAGAAATTGTGATTAAAAATTTGTTAACAATACACAACAAAGACAAAGGTTAATTTGAATAGCCCATCATCTGACCATAGTTGGCTAATAATGCAACATACTTTTTACACACAAAGGGCTGACACAGGGTGTGACCGTCTCTGAAGTTGTTGCATCTAGAAGGAAACTCCCTTCTTTACAACGAGAACAAGTATCATTGCCATAATTTTGTTCACAAACCAACACTTCAAAATCTACATAAAAAACAAAAGAAGACATTTTTAAAAATACAGTAAATTCAGAGTGGACAGTGTCTTATACCTTTAGCAGTGACTTGGTAAAAATTAGTGGTTACTTTTTTCTATATATCTTATGGTTACTAATTTGTTGTTGTCTTGATTCATGTTATTTTATCATTGAAAGTTGTGTATTCAAGTTAGTATCTACATTACAGAGTATCCCAATTTAATGGAAAATATTTTATCTTTGATAATTTTTCACTGAAATACAAACATTGTATAAAGGTTACATATATTTTTTTTCATTGTTCTTTATATATTTTTCCTGTACTCACCAATTTCACATGATGTCACACCACAACACAATCCATTTTCATGTATGATGTAGTGTGGAGACAGGCATCCTGTCAAACTGGCTGTGAAACAGGTGGGTAATATCTAGGGAAATAAATCAATGATATTTTAAAAATTTATTAGCATTATTGTTTAGGCCTTATCAAAAAAAAAAAATAGGTAAATAAATAAATAGGAGGAGTCTATAGTAAATGCACTATATTGAAATTCCACAATTAAGCAAATATCAAAATGAATGAAATGTCTTTGTACTTAAAATATCTAACTATAAGCACTGGTAGACATGCACATTATAATATTCAAACTGGTTCTGTAAGGAAAAATATTGCTACAGACTGAATATTGCTACATTTAAATTCTTAGATTTTTATCACTTTTCAGCAAATAAGTGTAGTGGTGAAATTATGTATCAGTGATTAATGCTATATAGAAACAAAACAACAAATAATTTACACAATCTGTGCAACACTGTATAAGATTAATGATAAAAGATATATGTTTACAGTAGGCAATAAGATATTGAGACATTAATCCCCAAACATATAATCTAGTGACATTAAATACATATTTATGAATAAACTAACAATAAGCACACGGCTTTTAAAAAATTCTGCCTTCGATGCAAAACTTAATATCAAATATCAATACTGTCTACATACATGAGAGAAATATGATTAGGAACACAACATGTTGTTTCGTTTGGTTTCACATCAAAATGATGTAAACAATCAACTCATTGTATTTTGAGATCTGGATGGAAGTAGATATATCAGAGGTTTGCCTTTACATTATAACTCAAATCAGTATTCTCACCATAATCTTCAAAATTCCAAAGTTATGTCACTAAAGAGAGAAACTGATCATAACCCCTGGAGTACTAAGGATGTCTTTTTGATTTGATTAACATTTTATATATACAAACATATCAGTACTAATTGGCCTTATCAACATATAGGACTACTTAACAATGATGATACATAACATTTAATCCTTGAATTACATCAAACTGGTATCTCATCTCTCATTCCCTTATCTGATAATAATATCACAATATCTCACATGATCTGTGATGAGAGAATGAAATTTTTCATAACTGAATGCCATATACATCCTCGCTAGGACTCATAATTTCACACACACACACACACACACACACACACACACACACACACACACACACACACACCCCAAACACACACACACACACACACACACACACCCACACACACACACACACACACACACACACACACACACACACACACACATACACAAAAAATGGAAAACTTGATATATTTCTGAGAACAACAGATATATTTATCAATGGCCTGCTGCAAATAAGTGCAAGGGGCCATTTCATATTTAATCATAACCATATTAAATCAAAGTAGGTATGAAAGGCCTATAAATCATAACACAACATTGCTTAGACAGAAGAGCACCTGCATCTGTAAGCCTTCTTCAGATGACAACAGGCTTACAACAAAGTACAGACAATCGGCTGGTTAAGTACAACAATCTAACTTCAGAGACAAGAAACAAAGTCCTAATTTACCTTAATAGATAACCTCAGATTGTACTTAAAGTACTGTACAAGTACAGTACAGCATCACATATTGTTTTGTGACTTGTGCTGTGTCAACTTTGATAAGCTATACCATGTTTGATATTTCTCTCACCACAAATATGTTGAGCATCACCAGTAAAATTTTATTGAGCCATCCATCTGGAAAATAAAACAATATATATACACAGGGACATTTATGATATCATATAGACAAGATACACAGAATAGTGTTTGCCTATTATTGCACTTGATAGTCTGTAGTGCTAAGTAATCATCTGGGCTTTGCAGATTAGTATTAAATTAAGTACATGTATCTTGGAAGGAAAAGTTAGATAATGTTATAATATGGAACTGCAATAACACAGAGGTGTCATATATAATGACTCATGTTTATCAGGAGAGGTGCCATGGAAACCAGGACGATACAAGAATGCTGTATACAATGACTTATGTTTATCAGGAGAGGTGTCATGGAAACCAGGATGATACAAAAATGCTGTATACAATGACTTATGTTTATCAGGAGAGGTGCCATGGAAACCAGGATGATACAAAAATGCTGTATACAATGACTTATGTTTATCAGGAGAGGTGTCTTGGAAACCAGGATGATACAACAACAAGTAACTTAAGTGGGCTAGATTGTCCATGTATATACAACCCTGAGACTACAATTTATTATGGACCACATATAGTACAACAACATAAGGTATCTATTTCATGGATTTTTTTCTGATATTTTACAAAATTGATAACCTTTAATCAGACCAGGGACTTTTAAAGAGATTCTTAGAGAATTTGGACATCTTTAATATACCTGGGGCTTAGAAGTATCAAAGCTATTATGAAGTTTCATAATGTTATGTGGATTAAAAAAAATCATACATTCAATATAGAATTTTATTCACTTACAGACCCTAATAAATAACAGGTATACATATATTTTATACTAGAGATGAGATCTATCTTTTACCTGTAATATTTTTTTTCTTTAATCTATGTTTCCTTTGTGCCTTTGGTTTAGTTGAGCTGTGATTTCCATGGTGGATGGTCTGCAGCTGCATATATCTCTCTACATGTGGATCAGGTCTAGACTGACAACATATACACAAATGTATGAAACACTGGATGGACTGCAGCAGCATACGTCTCTCTACATGTGGATCAGGTTGTGTAGGCTGTCAACACAAGAGACCTAGGTATAGTATATAACAGAGACCTAGGTATAGTATATAACAGAGACCTAGGTATAATCTATAAGAGACCTAGATATAGTCTATAACAGAGACCCGCCTAGATATAGTCTATTACAGAGACCTAGATATAGTCTATAACAGAGACCTAGATATAGTCTATAACAGAGACCTACCTAGATATAGTCTATAACAGAGACCTAGATATAGTCTATAACAGAGACCTAGATATAGTCTATAACAGAGACCTACCTAGATATAGTCTATAACAGAGACCTAGATATAGTCTATAACAGAGACCTACCTAGATATAGTCTATAACAGAGACCTAGATATAGTCTATAACAGAGACCTACCTAGATATAGTCTATAACAGAGACCTACCTAGATATAGTCTATAACAGAGACCTAGATATAGTCTATAACAGAGACCTAGATATAGTCTATAACAGAGACCTACCTAGATATAGTCTATAACAGAGACCTACCTAGATATAGTCTATAACAGAGACCTACCTAGATATAGTCTATAACAGAGACCTACCTAGATATAGTCTATAACAGAGACCTACCTAGATATAGTCTATAACAGAGACCTACCTAGATATAGTCTATAACAGAGACCTACCTAGATATAGTCTATAACAGAGACCTACCTAGATATAGTCTATAACAGAGACCTACCTAGATATAGTCTATAACAGAGACCTACCTAGATATAGTCTATAACAGAGACCTACCTAGATATAGTCTATAACAGAGACCTACCTAGATATAGTCTATAACAGAGACCTACCTAGATATAGTCTATAACAGAGACCTAGATATAGTCTATAACAGAGACCTAGATATAGTCTATAACAGAGACCTAGATATAGTCTATAACAGAGACCTAGATATAGTCTATAACAGAGACCTACCTACCTACCTAGATATAGTCTATAACAGAGACCTACCTAGATATAGTCTATAACAGAGACCTACCTAGATATAGTCTATAACAGAGACCTAGATATAGTCTATAACAGAGACCTACCTAGATATAGTCTATAACAGAGACCTACCTAGATATAGTCTATAACAGAGACCTACCTAGATATAGTCTATAACAGAGACCTACCTAGATATAGTCTATAACAGAGACCTAGGTATAGTCTATAACAGAGACCTAGGTATAGTCTATAAGAGACCTAGAAATATTCTATAATCTGTTATATACCTACAATATAGACCTGATCATGCTGAGTGGTTCACAAAACTGCTTACTTGTCTTTGATCAATTTGATCTCTCTTCCTTGTCACTGTGAAATTGTTGTCTGACTGCCCAGCTTCCAGCTTTTTTTTACATTTAGAGCAGTGAATATCAACACCTATCAATAAAAAATAGTGTCTATGCAGAAGATTGTCATAAGGATGTCTTCAAGGAAGTTTTCAAGTATCATTCTAATTGAAAATAATAACAATGAATAATAATAGTCTTTATTTATACTTGATAACAAATTTGAGTCAATGACTCATATTACAATTTGGTCAAGTTTTTACTAAAAAAAAACAATATTTACAAAAAAAAATCAATAATTGAAACCTGTTTTTATCAAATCTAAATACTGAGAGGGTTTACATCAGTTGTAGTCCTGAAGAGGTAATAACAGCTTTTCTGAATTAGGTTTCCTTACTTGTCATAGTAAAGAATATGTGTTTTAACTGATTTTGGCAATTACAGGATGCCAGAAACAAATGACTGTACATGAACAGTTTATTCTGCATGTACAGTATGTTATCTTAATTTTTTTGATACAGTCTTTGCAAATATGAAAATTGATGACCTGGAAAATATTAAGTTGCTAGATTTTAAAATTGAAGTCTAAATGAATCAAAAGTGATGTACAGAAGAACACTGAGTAAAGCCTGTGATAATATCATTAACACGGTAGCAGTTAATATACAGTCAGTTATTGGTGTTTGTTGTGAGAATGGAAATTACCTGTTAAATAGAAACCACCAGATACGAACTGGTCTGCTGTTTGTTCTGGCATACTGAGAAAAATATGTCCTCAATGACCTGGACAGCAATAACACCAACGAAGGAACTGATGTAGACAGAAGTGTTTGTCCCTTTAATTAATTATGGTGGTTGCTCCTCTGGGACATCCCTGGAAGCAAATTTGAGAGCTTAATCTGAAGTTACGTTATGTGGATAGAGAGTACTCACCCCTTCCTATCCTTTTGAATACTCATCTGTCCATTTCATCACTTGTAGTACCAAAAACTGTTAGGAAAATTTAGTAAATTGCTCAAAGTTATTATGTGTGTGACAGTTTGTGAACCAACTCACATGTTCCCTCAGAGGGTCATCATTTGGCTCCCAGTTTTGCAGCTTTTCTTCACAGTGGTAACGCACTCGCCTTTCACCTAGCCGACCGGGGTTCGATTCCCGGAACGGACGTGAAAAGGTAAGGGGTCACCTGCCCGACCACGTGGGGTTTCCCCGGGTACTCCGGTTTCCTCCCACAATAAGACCCCTCGCGTGCTTACATCCGGGCCAACAAGAGTGATTAGTATATGTTGACATAACTTGTTTCGTAATTGTTGTAAAATAAATAAAGTTTATATTTATATATTTATAGTAAAATCTCCAAAGAGTACCTGTAAAACCAATGACTCCCCATCAACGTGGTCAGTATACTGATATCTTTAAATCCAAAAATGTTTGATATATCAGGATAACATTTGTAATTTAATATTAGTTGATGTTTGATGAAAGATTTTAACAAGAGACTCACAGATCACCACTCTTCATATAATGATTGTTGTTTTTTTTTGTAACCCAACATCAGAATCATAATGTTAGCAGAATTTCTACTACCTATGCCAACAGACAGAAAAACTGAAGACAAAATAACCCTGTTCTTCAAGCACCAGAAGCATCTGAATTTTCATACTATTGCAGAGCTTCAGATGATTTTGCATTTACATGGGTCATTGGGCCCATCTAGCCCAAAAAGTAGGGGTCATTTTTCAAAACCATGGGACAACAATTCTGAATGATAAATAAAGACATAATTTTAACCTATGACTATATTTTCTTTATTTATTCATTTTACAGAGAAGATAGTTCTTCATTTTTTTAATCCTCCACAGCTGGACTGCCCTTCCAAAGTCAAACTTACCCAGCTCTGACCCACTCACACAAACACGCATTAATTTGTCACATGTCTCTGGGGAGATGCTTGCCCTTTCAGCTGTGGTGATATAATTCTGAACACCAAAAGATATTTTACAATCAGCTGTATGTGTGGGACTGGTGAGTGCAAGGGCAGCTAACCTTATCAAATTTGGAAATTTTTCTTTGTGGTATTGATGGATGAGAGGCCCAGAGATCCACCATCACGTCTCTCGGAAACATTTCTGCTAGCACTACTTGCTTACACATCTGCCATTCCTGTTTCGTTGCCTCTCCTTCTATATAGGGTCCTACTACCTTTCTCTCATCCATACCATTCACTGTCCACTCATGCACCTTCTCTGTTCCAAACTGGTCAATCAGCACTTGCAATTTTTCATTTCCCCACTCACATAACTGTTTCCCTTGGCCTAAATGTAATAGGGTTAAGTTTTAGGTAATTTTGGCCGCCGTTGTCTAGCGTCGCGCCGTTTGGATTTCCGCGTCGTCTGTGATCGTTATAAATGTATGTATATATGTTGCGTCTATATGTTTAGTTTGCCCATGTGACGTAGTGTGTCTACGTATGTCCAGTTATTGTCTCGTTTTCGTTCTTTGGTCTTTGTCTGTATTTGGCGGGTTTTCAGTGGACAAAGGGGACATTGACCATTACGGACGATTGAAACCTCCGTCCAGATTATGAACACCTTGCCCCGTAAATTGTAAGTCATATTTTATATATTGCTTTGAAACATCGATTATTGTATTATATATCTTGTTTAACATCATTTGTAATGATGTTATTAATTTATCAAAATCCATGTATTGTATACACTAATAATACTGCCGATCTTACCGTCGGTTTGAAATGGGTAGCTTTATATATTTGTAGTAAATATAAAATGACCCGTATACTGTGTAACTATTTATATATGCGTTGTTTTAATTACAGTAATCATCTACGATCCCAATGATATCAGTCATTTGTCTACGATCATAATGAGCCCTATGTTACTTTAGGACCCTTGACCCATTGTTGGGGTAGGTTTTCACATTAAATATTGTTTATTAAATAATGTTCTATTAAATGATTAAATAACGTGTAACGTACCGTAGCAATAGTGTGTCGCTATATTCCTTTTTTTATGTTGAACTAAGTATTTGTATTTATATAATATAAGTAGGTATCCATGTACATTGTGGAACAATTAAACTCTCTTTTGAGATAATTACCACTGTGATATTATCTGTAATGTATATTACGTGTGATATTTAATGTATTGTAAGGGATCGTATTTATGTGTTTTATGTATGTTATGTTGTAGGGTCTTTAGGGTTTAACCTAATAAACATCTGGAACCGGACCTGGTGTTCGCCCTCATTATTTTTTATAAAACAACCAAATTTACATAAACTTGAAATTGGGTGCATACTCAACACACCATACACAGCTAGAATGTATGTATGTGGGAATCCATCTGATAGATTTTCATTAAATTTTCAACAAATTTTGCCACAAGTGTTGAAGTACAAATTTTCCTAGCCATACCATCACCTTTCGGATCTTTCCTTTTATCAATTCCCTCGAATTATGTGAGGAGGGCGGGGAGACTTCTTTGAACAGAGGAAAGTGCTTCAAAAAATGATAACCATCGAACCTGGTAAACCTCCCTGACTTTCAGTGTTGGAAGTTCTAGCACCTTTTGGATATTTTCAAGAGTTTGAACTTTTGCAGATGAATGTTTGAAATAATAAAACAAGTCAGTAAATGTCTGTTGAAACTCTTTCAAAGTTGCAAAGATTTCTGTACATTGGCTGCTCACCAAGACAAGCATGTGCGCAAGACAACGTACATTTACAGTCATGCTTGGAGAGGAGGCTACCACAAGCCTTGTGTTCGCAACATTTTTTCTTGAGGTTTGGGGTCACCTTATCTTACCAACAAGAGAGTGAATGGTTATTTTTTCTCTTACATTGCTGATTGTGTTAGGTACCAGTGTGTGTTTTTGTTGTCCCTGTGCTTGGCATAGTAGACATGATTGAATTGTTGACGTGATGTCAGTGAATTGCTACTGTTATGTAATATTGTCCTAATGTTCATTGTTCTTGACAGCTTTTATTGAGTTTGTCCTTTTATAGCATCAATTACTACAACTGCAGTTTAGATGGAAATGTATGACTTGTATGTGGAATGAAATTCAACATTTTATGCAGTTTTGATTGAGACGCATGATTTGTATTTGGAAATTAAATTAAACATTTATATCTGTTCACAAAGCATTCAAATTCATATCAGAAACTGAAATATTCCTTACATCATACTGTACTTCATTTAAATAATATACTATAAACACATAAAACCTAATGTTATACATTTCTTAAATGACTATGTACATGTAAAGTGATGCTACCCGAACTGGAACACTTTTTGAATAAAATTGTTGAAGTTTTCAAACCAGTGCTTGAATTTTGTATTTTTTCTTGACATCTCACAAATACCTTCAGCTTTCATTTCATGCTTCGTTTTGTTACGTCAGCAGCTTCCACATCTATAAAATGAACACAGAAAGGCATTCAAAGATTTAGTAATAGTAACGTGTTTCAACAGGTAGGTGTACACAAAATGGAATGACTGTTATATTCAGGTCAGTTATAGAAATAAATGACATAATTTTTATAATATTTTTCTTCATGTAATAAAAGTTCGCAAACTTTCTCATTAACCTTAGCCTTTTACCTCCAAAAACTATTAATTTCAGCCGTACTTTTCAATGTTCAAATGTGACGTAATGTTTGTGTTATTGTCACATGATCACTTCGTTTATATATAGAGATGTCAAATGATTCACAATATAAAATATACGAACTCGTAAAGATGTCATAAATACATATTTCTTATTTTAAATAGTTTGTGTTCACTTCCATTTTTTGAAAAAAAGTCAAATATTTGAGTAGAGTTCCATATTTGCGAGTATCACGTACAGATCTAAAAACATTTCATAAATACGTAAGTAATCATAACATCACAGCAGAATAAACAAAATTAAATTATTTCGAATCTAACGTCCATTAAATACCTACCCCTTCGTATCATAATAGCAAACGAATAACCTCAGGTGTGTTTTTCCTTCTTACGTCGACTTCACACCAAAAGTGGAACTTACCAGTCTGTTAAAAAACTCCTAGTCTCGTGACGTCACAACTCTACCCATAATGCTTCCGTCCGCCATCTTGTAGGTCAAAGTTATTTCTATAAATATTCATCGTGGTAGCATTATTTGGACAAACTAAACAAGCTATTTCAGCTATGGTAAACGTTTGTGTCGTGTACGACTGTCACAACCGTTCTTCCCAGGGTGTTGTTAAACGTTCCTTTCATGCGATTCCGGCTATTATCACAACACAAGGCGAGAAGACGCAATATTTTTCGACAGAGCGTATATTTTATGTATACAAAACAATGGTTACTTTTCTAGACATTTGTGTAGCCCTGAAAAGGGCTGTTTTGGTTATTTTATTATGCAGTTGGTTTGCATAAAATTCTTCTGATCCTGTTGCCATACTTGATGATTCCTGTGTTTCTTCTATCTGATGTGGGTGTCTGTAAGTGGACCTGGTCTGGTAAAAAATCTTTTGGGTACTTGATGTCATCGAATGTGATGAAGTCAGTGCAAATTTTCTTCTTTAGGAGCTTGTTTACTTGTTTTCTTTGTCTGTCAAAGCTGTCTTTTGTTAACCCCGGAGATTTTGTGAAGTTTTGTGAAGTGACTCTCCCGTCACAAACGAGATTTTCGGGCATCGGTCACAAACACCGAGTGGAATTGATGCACTCGGAACTCCTCGAATGTGACTACCGCCACATGCCATTTGTAGGGGTTTTATCATACTGATTACTAATATGTCTATTAAATGTCAATCAAATATACATCACTAGGTAAAAATTTAAAAACATATTTGACTATGGTAGGACTTTGATTACGAAATGCTTAAGCGAAACAAGACGAGGATATAAGGGACGTGACTCTTACAGAACTGTTATTACAGAACCTGTATCATAAGGCACTTAAGCAGTGTCTTTCTGATTTTTATACTACTATTGTTTATCGGATAATGTACAGTTTGTTGAAAGTATATTATATTTTATTTATGTACTCAAACTTTATATCTATTTTGAAATAAGTACTATATGTTGACTACAGTTCTGTTTTAGACATGATTCACGTGCCTACTTTATTTTTGGGAATTAATTGAAATTTTTAGAATATCGGGAAAGTAATGTGTGAATGATATTTAAGTGGGAATTGCGTATTTCAAGAACAAAAATGGTTCTTTTCGTGATTTTTTGTAGCTCTGAAAAGAGCTGTTTGCGTAAATGATGTTGAAATATCAATTGATCAGAGCTGATAATACCGTAGGTGTCTTCTGGCGCTATGGAAATACTTCTGCATCCCCTTCTCGTTGTAGTGAACTATATCTTCAGAATAATCTTTCGGGTAAGATGGCTGGTCCATCTTTAACTTGTCTTTTATTTTCTAAGTTTCTTGTTGATGGCACGTCTTTGTTTGTCGAAGTTTTCAAACGTCAGGCCATTGCTGAATTTGCCCCGTCTGAAAATCTCTTGCATCAAAATTTGTTTTACGCCGCTTGAGTGGAGTAGGTCTGTCAAATTATCGCAGGAAAACTGTTTGGAGACATTGATATAGACAAGACCGCTAGTATTTCCCAACGTTTATCCTGACGACTCTTTACCGATCACCGTTCCAACAATATTGGAGTTCAAAAGGGTAGGGGTCGGTAAAGATGGACAAATTGTTTATATAGACTTCGAATTCAATGTCCACAAGATTTGACTAGTAAGATCTCATTGAACATTTATGAAAATAAATTAATTTTGTCTGTTGTCCTTTCATCAACAAATATCAAATGTAGAAAATGAACAAACTAACGACTATTTACATGAGAACACTTGAAAAGTTTGTGGAGTCAGAGGTTACAAGCACATGACTCGCCGTAGAGATTGGTCTTTACTACCAGTCTTACACACACATGATAACTTAGTATAGTCTTTGAACCAACTAGGTGGTTTCACAACGCGACCACTTGCTGTTCTCACATTGTTCGAAACATTATTAGCAGCCGGTACAGATTTTGGAACATCGGAGACTTGTTGTTTCCCTGGGGTTCCTTGTGGCCTTGATATTGGTGTGCGTGGCTCTGACGTAGTGTTCGTCGTTGTTGCTGTTGGCTCTTCACTCTCTGGACCAACGATAATAGGTGGAGGTCCTAAGCAGGTCTCTGCTGTTTCTCCTGTACTTCTTTCCGTTGGGTGTCTGAATGATGAATGACCTGGGCTCAGTGTGTTTCCGACGTACCTGAGCGGGTCCCCAGCACTGGCGTAGGTAAAGGGGAGGGGGGGGGGGGGGGGGGTGTGCAAAATTTTCTGGGGGAGGACCCCCAGATCCCTCGCCAAAGCTTCGCGCCTTCGGCGCTCGTGACGCACGGCTTTGCCGGCGTTGCCAGATTTTGCCCCCCCCCCCCCAAAAAAAAAACTTCAGATCCTGGCTACGCCACTGGTTCCCAGGTTCTGTAACTCGAACCCTTACAGACTCTCCTGGTCGAATGTGAGGAAGTGACTTGGCTCGTTTATCGTACTGTTATTTCTGTCTATTCTGACGTGATCGGAGTTGCTCAGATGCACTGTGGGCGACTTTGGGGGTCAACGAGTCACGATCTGTGTGTATCCTTGACCTCAACTTCCTGCTCATCAATAGCTGTGCTGGCGAATAGGGTTCACTGAGACCCTTAGACTGCGCGTAGGTAGGACTCGACGTCACTAGTTCTATGTCCCATTTCCTCTCTGGATGTTCTAGAACTGAATATCATGTTGTCAGATATGATGACCTCTGGGATGCCATGCCTTTCTAGTATCGACTTCAGGTGGGTGATAACGTTGCTAGCCATTTTGTTCTCGAGCATGCAAATTTCAGGATATTTGGAGAAATAATGTACTACTACAAGATAGTCTCTGTGTCCAAACTGGAATAAGTTCATCCCAAAGCTTCTGCCATGGCCGATCAGGTACTTTGTGATGAATGAGAGGTTCCTTTTGCTGTTTGGTCTTGAATCTGTTGCATGTGGAACACCGCGATACAAAGTCCTCAATGTTCTATGATATGTTGGACTAATAGACACTCGCGCGAGCACTTGACTTGCACTTTTCCATTCCGAGGTGACACTCGTGAATGGTTGCGAGCATTTCACGACGAAGTTGTTTAGGGATGATCAACTTCTCGCCATAGAACCGTAGTCATTCAGCCTCAAATATCTCGTCTCTGATTGTCCAGTATGGGCGTACTGACACGAGGCTCTCGGATTTCACTATTTGCCAACCCCTTTCACAGTAGCGACTAAATCATGTAGCTCGCAGTCCTGTGCTGTGGCCTCAACAAGTTGGTCAAGCTTTGACGGGCTTACTGGTAAGCTTGTTAACAATCCATGGACCATGACTTCCATCTCCTTGTTGAGCTCTGTGGCGTCCCCAGTGGTAGAAAGATAGGCTCTAGACAGCGTATCGGCTATAAACATATACTTTCCAGGTACATGTGTAGTGTTGATCTGATACCGCTGTAACTTTAGTAACATCCTCTGTAGTCTTGGTGAGGCTCTGGACAGAGGTTTCCTGGTGGTTGTCTCTAAGGGCTTGTGATCAGTCTGGACCTCGACTGGTCTTCCATACACATATTGATAGAACTTGTCGCATGAGAACACAAAAGCTAACAGTTCTTTCTCTATTTGCGCATATTTTTTTTGACGCGTATGCGATTGGTTTCCCCTCCTGCATTAAGCACGCTCCAAGATCGTTTTGCGACGTGTCCGCCTTAATCGTTACAGGTTTCGTCAGGTTGAAGAAACTGAGGACAGATTTCGCTGTTAGGACGTCCTTGATGACTTTCAGTGCACGATCATGTGTCACATCCCAGATCCAAGCGATGTCCTTCTTGAGTAGTTCTCTCAAAGGGGAGGTAATTTCCGACGTGTTCGGAATGTAATTAGACAAATAGTTCACCATACGTAACAGTCTTTGTAGAGCTGGCTTATCCTCTGGAGTAGGTATGCATACGATTGCCTCAATCTTGTATGCGTCGGATTTTAGCCCTTCCTGTGTAATGACATTGCCCATGTATTTGACCATATCCACCTAGAACTGGAATTTTGACGGATTGAACTTAATGTTCTGTTCCCTTGCTCTCTCCATCACCTTGGTAATGATATTGTCATGTTCTACAGAGCCCTTAGCTGCGATTATCATATCGTCAGCAATCATCCTCACACCATGGATGTCTCCAAAGGTTTCCTGGTTCTTCTTCTGAAAAAACTTCGCTCGCTGAGGTTATACCAAAGGGCATACGTTTGAATGTCGGTGGTTCTTTCAACCGCAGCGATGACGTCATCTGCTTCGAGTTTACGTAAAGTCTGCAGTCTTGACTGCAAAATGAAAGGTATCTTTCGGGGTGAGTGTATAAAAGGTTGAACACTTGGGTCAAGATCAGTATGGTACTAACCTTTGAACTTACCGATTCCTGTGAATACATCCTGATTATCGGCAATCAGTTTCAACTTGGTAAGTGTCCCACTTTGTTCCTTCTGAACTGTGTGCATGTCCGACTTGTTGTATGTTCTTTCAACCAGTTGTAGCTCCTTGCATGTTTGAAGTCCTAAAAGTCGGTGGCGACTTGACATCTGCTATATAGAACTCAATGTCTGTCCTTCTACATCTCAAAATAGCCTTCCCTGTATGCTTGACAATGTGTTCACCATAGGCCGACAACACTATATTTGTCCATTCAAGCTTAGGATTTCTGTTCAGCTTCTCGAAGCACGCTAACGGCATAACGTTAGCCTCCGCGCCGGTGTCGAGTTTGAATTGAATGTTCTGATTGTTTACCTTTAAACTTGTAAACCAGGCTTTTTTCACCAGTGTCATTTATCTGTCCAATCTGTAGTTCTCCTATAAATAGCTCACTAAAACTATCAATGTCCTCCTCCGCTAAGGCGACATCGTATACATGGTTCCTATGCCCATTCTTGTTACCACCGCGACACATATTCATGAAGTGTTTTTACCACACATATGGCACTGTTTACCAAACGCAGGACATTCATTATTAGGGTGTGACTTGCCACAGTTCCTACATTTCCATTAATTTGCTCGTAGCAGCGTGTTGTTGTTTATGTTGTGTTTTCTGTGGTTGTTTGTGTTGTTTACCACCGAACGATTGTTTACGTTTGCTTACTGCGTGGACAGCTGTAGCGGCAGCACTAGTGCTTGTAGAAGTACAGGGCTCAGATATTTCCTTAATCTGCCCTGCACTCGTCTCTTAGGCTCTACATATCTCAATCACGCGATTTAGAGAGGGGTCTGCTCAATCTCTTAACAGTCGTTCTTTCAAGCGATCATTATCAATGCCAAAGATAACTCTTTCTCTAATCATCATATCTCTCTGGTCACCAAATTCACAGTTCATTGCACGTGATTTTAGTTCAGTAACGAAATGGTCTATCGACTCACCATCTCTCTGTTAAGTTTCCCAGAATATGTAACTCTCAATTACCGTGTTTTTTTCTCGGGTTGCAATACTCCCGGAACTTGTCTAGCACGGGTTTCAACTTCATGTTGTCCCCATCATTCTCAAACGTGAAATTGTTGTATATCTCCAGACCTTCCTCGCCGATGGAGTGAAGCACGATGGCGACCAGAGTAGCCTGGGGTTTTTCTGAACCGCC